TATAACAACCGACATATACGATCATAGACAGACTACCTTTTCCCTGAAGAAATCCCATAATGTGTAATACTAGGGATGTAAGTTAGTGAGGAGGTTTTTTTCAATTACATTTTTAAGTTTTTAAAAGTATTAAAAAAAGTTCAAATCATTGTCTTTCTTTAATAGTAAGTTGTTGTTCCAGGTTATCAAGCCTGCCACTATCCTGGAAAAGAAGAGGATCAAAATCTTCGATGCAAAGTAAGATGCATGTTATTGTTTAAGATTTTTACTTTGTACATTCTATACTTGCCAAAAATTTGCTTATTAGTATTAAGGATAAATGACCGATAAATAACACGGTGGGGTATAATAATCTAAAATACATAAATCGCGACCGCCTGAAATTTGTGTAAAGTGTGAAGTGGACAGTGAGATAGTGAAAGTTGGAAGACATCACTATATATGGACCAAGGATGATATATGTATAATAATGCATTATTATTAGTTTTAATTTGGTTTGTAATGAATTTTATTGTAAAATACTCACTTGAAAGATTTTTAAAAATTTGTTAGACTTTTAATCTAATTTCAGAGATTTAGAAGAACTGCAGGAGATTTCGGAAACGTTTTACTTCGAGTTCAAAACTGAAATGGGAGTAATGATAAAGCCAAATAATTTAACAGGTTTGTTTAATTTCTTTCATAATTCTGTAAATAACATTCTTGATTGAAACCAAAAATAGTTCAAGATTATGCCATAAACACGCACTAACAATATTACATTTTTTGGGAACAGTATTGAGCATACTGTTTTTTTTTAATAAAAAAAAAAATTAATCGAATTCTGCGCCAATTGTAATACTCATTTCTCCCGGTAAAACGGTTGTCTGATGATACCAGCGATTAGTATCTACAACAACTAATATAAAAGTAATATATATGGTATGACTATTGTCTTGTACAACTTACTTATGTCTTTCGGTTCTAACGTTACTTCGATTTCTTTGCAAACAAAGTAGCATTCAGGGGGTGGGGCTAATTTCCACTTTTTTCTTCCCCTTAGCTGCACTTGCCAGGAAGGATAATGAACGTTGTCTATCTAAACATAACAAATTATTTAAATACTTTCCAGCCCTTATGGAAATATAAAATTAAAGAACTGTTAATAGTTCAGAATTTAATTAACAATTAGTTGGAGTATCTTTAATTTTTACTAGCAGTTTTTTAACAAATTAAAATTTTGTGTTTTATACATCATCTATAACTTTAAATTCGATTTTTCCAGTTGAAAGTCGAAATTCCGAATTACAAGTTAAGATTTTGAATTACAAATCGAAATTTTAAGTTACAAGTTGAAATTTCAAAAAAAAAAATTGTTTAGGCCTTCTATGCCTTTGTATATTTGTCTGAATTAAATTGGAAATTGCATAAATATTGAATGAAATCGGAAATTATAAATAATTAAATAAATATTTATTGTTTCCTACATGCATCAGTGCTCCAAAACCAGGTCCCCCCATAAAAATCCAACTAAGGGGCATATTTTCTGATGTTGGAGGCAAAAAGTAGGGTGTGTCATAATACTTTCTTAGTTCTTTTGCTATCTCGTTGTTACAATTACTCCAACCAATATACCACGGCTTTGTTCCTGGCACAAGTTTTGATCGATTTTCGTCCATTTTCAGTGCTTCATATAGGGACTTGAATTCCGTTTTATATGGGAAAAATTGACAGTTTGATTGTTCTTCTATTGCCCCTTCTGTCATCAAAAAAAGGTTTTTAAAAAAGTCAAAGGAAAACATTTCCTGAGCTTTCCATGTTTCCGCCGCATCTGTTACAATCACCGGTCTTTTTTTCGAATAATAAAATTCATTAAAATAGTGATGATACTTGTACGGGATACTGAATATTTACTATCGAAAAAGATGGAAAATGAGAATTTGTCTTTTAATTAAAAGGTAATAACAAGTCACGCGCAAGTTACTGAGGTTATGTAGTGAACTAAATAATCGTGCAAACTATGCGCTTGGAACTGAATTAAACATTGCTAATTTTTGATTCCATAGCTTTCCATAAATTGAGTTTATTTGTTTTAATTTATCTTTTGACTGTTCCGGTTGTTTCAAAGCCATACCACCGGCCCTACGATTGTCTTTCGGAAACTCTTTATCGCCGAGTCTTAGGTACTTTCATTTTGACTTCTCATTTATAAAACAGGAAATTCGTAATTTATAAAATATACTTAAGCTATAAATACAAGATGTTTTGATTGTTATCCCTTAGTCAATGTGTATTATCTCATTTATACTTATTTTCATTTTCTTTCAGGTAGGATGTCAATTGACGCACCTTGTATGTAAGTTCAACATTTTCTTTTATCAGACAAAGGAAAAATGTTGAATAAATATTCTATAAATTTTCCTTTGTCTTGATATTTGCATGCTTTCAAATTTTGGCAAGTATAGAAATATATTGTTTATATCAATTGAAGTTTCATGTAGGTATTTTTTTGGTAAGTACACTTTCCCAATGTTTTTTTTTTATGAAATATGTGTACAGGGTAGAGCATAAGTGTGTTCACAGATTAACCCTCC